AACTATTCTAAGTGACGACTCTGAATATAAATAACTAATCCCATTTCGAATAATGTCATTTTAATTGAAAAAACTCCCTATTCCCTCGGTAAAAAGGAAGTGCGGCAATGACTTATCATCTAAAAGATTATTTTGACTCGTAAATCTTTTACTATACAAACTTGTTTAGTCAAGCTTATAAAAGCCAAAAATATTTTATTTTTAAATTTTAAACAAAGCAGTTTGGCTTTTACTTTTTCTCTTTTTCTTTGTTATAAAGAAGAAGAACTTGAAATTAGAAAAATAAATACCAAACCTAAATAAAGTTCATTCTTTCACTTGCAAATATTAATAGCATGTCTAGTCGCGCTTCTAAAATTAGTTTATTTTTGAAAATTATTTTTTCAAAAGTGTTTTTCAAAAAAGTATTTTTGGTAAGAAGCCGTTTGTATTTGCCTAATCTTTTTGAAAAATACTATTGAGCAACAATTAGTGTTTGATCAAGTTTTTAAAAAAGTGATTCTAAGTGTATTTTTTTTCAAAACTGCTTTTCAAAAAAGTACTTTTGAAAGAAATTACTTTTTTCCGATTCTACTCAAAAGTACTTCTTTTTTCCTTCTAAAAGCTTGGCCAAACCACTTAATTCTGGAAAAAGTACTTTTGACCATAAAAAAAATACCGTTGGCCAAAAGAAGCGTGGCCAAACAGGCTATAATACTCCTTCGTCTCAATTTATGTTGCACAATTTGTCTTGACATAGAATTTAAGAAAGAGAAAAAGACTTTTGAAACTTGAAGTCTAAAATAAGTTTTATGTTATAAATAGAATTTTATTTATGGTGAATGTCTATATTCAGAGAGATTCTAGGGTTTATACTTGGTGGCTAAGTCAGTCTCTCCCTATAAATAGAGGGTTCTATTCCAATGTAATTCATCCCAAAATTAATAAGAATTATCTCCCTACTTTTCTATGCAATACTCTTCTTCTTCTTTTATTGTTTTATAACACGTTATCAGTACGAGACTCTAACCTATTGAGTAGAAGCTTTGGGATTGAGCATAATGATTGTCAATTGTTCCATGAACTTCCTTCATGATTAAATTCAGGATTTAAGGTAAGTATTTTACTTTTCTCTTTCAAATTCTTGACATTCTATAATTTGATTTTAAATACAAGAAAAGACAATAAATTGTGATCGTAACTCTAATGGAGTTTGAAAGAAATTATAACCACCCAAAGTGGTAAAATTTCTATGCCATGCCATGATCAAATTCATGTATGATTGTGGGCAAAGAATTAAATACCTGTCCCATTGAATTTGCTCCATTCTCATTCCCTTAAGAGAATGTGATAGCAGTATGTAATAAGTCTGAAAGAAGACAAAATTATTACTATAAATGTATCAATGAATGTAGACGTGGCAATAGACGAAATTATAATCGTCATTATTGTGACAATGAGAACAATAAGGATTCTCAAAAGAATCCTTCACTATGTGAAAGTAATATTTGTCATTGATTTGACATGAGATTTTGTAAAGCACATATAGATGATTATGGTCCATTCATGATGTGAATGTGACAATATGTGATTTATGAATACATATTCATTCTTGGAAGAATATGAGTGTGCTAGTGGTATATACCACACTCAACTCTAGATGGAGGTTTGAGAGGAAATAAGAAAATAATGTCATTATTATGGCATAAATGGTCACTGGTCACGCTAAAATATTTTGGCAATGTGATTATTTAAAGACAACGGTAATGCAAGAAACAGATCTTGCATATAATTTTGACCATAACCATAATGGTATAACTTTCTCTTTAAAAGAGATATTCACCATATGAATGTTGATGAATATGTGGTAGCACCAAATTAATTGAGAGCTTTGGAAGAGCCAATTATTATTATTTTGAAGGAATACAATTGATTGTCATGTCAACTTATTGTGTTGTTGTAAGTCTCAAAGAAACTTATTCAGTTTCCAAAGTATACGCGAAAGCGATCGATTATATTGAGACTATAAATAAAGGAAAGATTTAATATCTTCTATTACAACAACTTATAGCGGGGTAATATATATGTGAGGAGCTTCCCGCTTTATTCTCCAATTTGTACTACATAAATAAAAGAATGCAACAATAAAGTAGAAGTTTATTGATATAAAAACCCATATCATAATAAACTTGAAGTTTATTGATAATTGCACGCGTCATGGTATAAACCTGAAGTTTATCAATTTTGATAATTTATTCAGTTGGCATAATTGATTTAGCCATGATGTGCAAAAATAATAGAGAATTCACATGGGCAAATATTAAAGAACTAGAAAGTTCTTTACGAATTCTCTTATATTGCATGTTCTCATTAATTAAATTGACCAACTAAAATTGGGATTGAATCCCATGAATGCTGGAAATATCAAAGGTGAATATGGGC